CCCCAAAACCCCAAAACCCCAAAACCCCAAAACCCCTATTTAATCTGCAAATTAGAAAGATCATTCAGAATGTTTTAATTGAGTATTTATAGAAATAAGTTATTAATTCATCACTGTTCAATATCAACTATCATCATTCCTTAGGAGCTTTAGATTTCTTGGCTGGCTTATCTTCTGCTCCTTCTTTTGCTGCCTTTCCTTTAGGTTTAGCTTATTTAGTTTCTTCTTCCTCATCCTTTTCTTTTTCTTTTTCTGAAGTTTCCATTAGGAAGTAATTTCCGGCAGCCTTTTGTTCTTGATCTTTCTATGAAGCAAGTTTGTTTATACGAGGTCTGAAGTTAGTAGGATCTCTTCTGAACGTGATATCCATAAGCTTTAAGAATCTGTTCATACCTGTAACAAGTCCCTCTGGATATGTACAGTAAGTAACCTTAGCGGGCTCTCCGTCAAACACAATAACTTTGTCAGCTAAATAGGTAGCCATAATGAAATCATGCTCGACAATAAAAGCGCTCTTCTTCATGTTCAAGATCCAACGCTTCATTACCTTAGCACAAATAACTCTCTATTCTGAATCAAGATAAGCAGAAGGCTCATCGATTAGATAAATGTCGCAAGGTTTTGCAAGAGCTAAGACAATGGCAACACGCTGTAACTCTCCTCCTGATAAGGTCTGAACAGTATTATCTAGTATTGACTCAATATCGAGTGGGATAATAACCTCAGTCTTGAAGAGTGGTGCTTCCCATTAAGTTGATAATTTAGTATATAAGAGATCTCTTACTGTACCCTCGAACTTAGGTGCAATGGTTTGTGGTTTATAACTGATGTTTAATTTAGGAATATCAACATCATCTTGATCAGGTTTCAGAATACCAGCAAGCATTTTAATAAGAGTGGTTTTACCAGTACCATTTTAACCAAGCATTACAACGATTTCAGAGTTTGAGAAGCTACCCTCCTCAACGTTGATCTAGAATTCTCCCATTGTCTTTGACATCTTTGGGTATTTATAGTGAGCTGTTTTTTATGGAGCCCCTTATGCCTTTTTCTCCTCTTCAGTTTCAGCTACCTTGAAGGTAAGTTCTTCGTCTCTGAATCTCATATTTTCAGTGTGAACGAATCCACTCAGGAAAATATTTATACCTTCTCTGACTGAGAATGGCATAGTTACAACACCATAAGCACCTGGGTTACCGTAAAGACAGCAGATGAAATCTGATAAATAATCGAGAATAGAGAGATCATGCTCTACTACAATAACGTAATTTTCAGGGCATAATAGTGATCTAATCATTCTAGCAGCATTTAAACGTTGCTTAACATCCAAATAAGAACTAGGCTCATCAAACATATAAATATCTGCTTCTTAAAGAGCAGTCATTGCAATAACAAATCTTTATAGCTCTCCACCGCTCAACTATTGAATCTCTCTTTCAAGAATACTCTCAAGATCCAATTTATCAATAGCTTCTGCTAATTTACCCCTCTTATCGACAGCTTTAAGTCTCTTTCCTACAATACCTTAAGCAGCCTTTGACTTTGCTACAGAGTCTACATATTGAATCTTGATCAAAGCCTTCAAATTGTTCTCAAGCATCTTAGTGAAATAATTTTGAAGCTCACTACCTCTGAAGAATCTTAAGATCTCTTTCCATTCAGGAGGGTTCTCATATCTACCTAGATTGGGCTTGATGTTACCACTAAGGATTCTAAGTGCAGTAGATTTACCGATACCGTTAGTTCCTACTAACCCTAAGACCTCACCAGCTCTTGGCTGAGGGAGTCTATGCAATTTAAAAGCGTTGGGGCCATATCTATGAGTGACTTCGTTGGTTAAACCTTTGGGCAAGTTGATAATCTTGATGGCCTCAAAAGGACATCTCTTGACACACATACCACAACCAATACAGAGGGTTTCTGAAATAAAGCAGATAGTTGATGCGGGAGTGACTTCGATGCAAAGTTTTCCTGTCTTATTGATGGGGCAAGTCTTCTTGCACTCTTGCTTGCACTTCTTGGGTTTGCACTTGTCAGGGTTGATAATGGCAATTCTCAACTTGTCGTCAGCCTCCATATTAGATATTAAACAATTTAATAAATAACTAGCATTTTTATTGTTATTAATATAATTTTGCAAGCTTATTAGAAAAGAAAGTTTAAATAATCTGCAAATAACTTTGCTACATGTCTCAGAATGCTGCTGGGTCGGTACCAGTGAAGAACTCGCCACTACCTTGTCTATTATTCCCAATAACCACGATCATTTCATTGAGTGCTGGAGTGACTCTGACGCAGCAAGCCAGTCTACTGTTGGTGGCTGTATTAGTCAAAGTTCTCAATAGTCTGTTGTCTTCGAAATCAAGAACTTTGTTAAGCTTGTCAAACCATGGGTCGGCAACAACGACTTGACACTGGCCACATTAAGCGCCAGAAGTATAGAAGTCAATTGGAACTTGATGTGGCTTTAACTCGTTATCTCCACCATCGCATTCATCTACACAATTATTCAATAAATCTATTGATTTTCTTACTGTAGATGCCTGGAACATGCCCTCTATTAATAACCTCTAGTAAACTCTCATTTTCAAAGCCAGCAATTCTTCTTGGAATACCATCAGGTGGGACAACGTTGATCCATACGCTATATCGATAGATAATAAATTTCAATTCAGATTGCAATTTATCTCATAGGAGATGATAGCTTACATTTTATCATTGACCTTGATTCTGCCCTCTACTTTATTGTGATGATGACCTCCACTGAATTGCTATGCACCTATAAGCAGAGTTATGAAATCGCAGAATAAATACTAAGCAGAGGAAGCAGAGTATTTGAACTCTTGAGTGCTAACTTAGATCTTGTGAAATTAACAAGCTATAACATTTTTGTTTATAATTTATTAAATTGCTTCAAAATTATAAAAGAATTAGCTTTACGGGGTTTTGGGGTTTTGGGGTTTTGGGG